TGCAAACTATCTATAAAACGGTTATTTAGACCCAAAAACAGTATATTATGTTAATTATTGTATTGAATGTATTGAATATAATTAGCTAATTGTCTGAATGTCTTCGCAATCATTAGATTTATGTCTGAAGTGTAGTTCAGTTCGCGGAAGGATTTTATCACTAAATCAATGGTTTGTTTGCAATAAAGTTCTGCTTAAATGTCTTGAATATAAGGAATCGCAACACAAATGGATTGGATTTGAGTTGAATTTCATCCGCCAATCAGTCAATGAGATAATCGATTCCATGAATCAAATCGAGTCATCACTCATAAGAGATCACAAATTGGATCCCATTTACAGACAACTGATTGAAAGCGAAATCAATTATTTCACTCAAGAATGGCATCAATCGATTGAACCGAAACTGAAGCGAATCTATAGTGAAGAACAGAGTCTTATTGTCGGCCACAGAGGTGTCGACCCATCGGCCGAGACCTACGACTTGACTGAACTGAAAAAGTTGGAGATTTCGATGAAAAACAACGAGAGATGTGTCCATCAGATCGAAGAGGACATCAGGGGTTCGGCCGACGCTGTCATTCGTATTGAAGACAACACTCGCAATGCGGTCATCCATGTGAAGACTGGCCAAAGAAGAATACAACGAACCCATTGGTCCTTAAGTCTAATCAATCGGTTTAAGTATTGCTTAATAACTGTTGGATTTGTTGCTGTAATCTCTTTAATAGCAATTGTTTTGTTACTTAAATATTTATAAGTACATATTTATCAATACATGAATTCTGTATTTGAGTTAATTTATAAGTTACTAATAAGTTTGTCAATAAATATGTTTTGAATTTATAGATTTATAAAATTATTTTTATTGTAATATTAATGAGAATCTAATTGTGAATTAATTTTAAGCGTTTGTTTGATCGGCAGTAGTATTAGTCTGTTGTTTGTCATCATTATTGTCGTCCACTTCTGAAGAGCTAAGAACTTCAACAGAATCTGAGTTATAGGAAACAGTTTGGACTTCGGGCTGGAAGTGGTCGTCTGGATGGTCATCGCTATTGACATCCCTTTTCCGAAACAAATCAATATCTGTCGCCCTTTTGGTCGGAGAGAAAGCCATATGTTTTTGATCCTCCAATGTCTTAGTCTTTCGTTTCAGAATCCAAAGACAGGAATAACAGATAAATATCATCAATGATACGAATGCTATGAAACCGAGTATAACTAAAATGGTTATCGTTAGCGATGATGTTCTGTCATACAATGGCTCCATATATTGATCTCAAGACTCTTATATTGACTCAAATTAATAAATAAATTTTCAAATAAAAGTGCTTTCATTGAGAGCGTGTTTTATAACAATTAGTGAATTGTGTTATAAACGCTAATTTGTATCCTATTTGCTGACCATAGACTTGGCATTCACTCAAAAATAATCATCAAATTAATGTGTATTTCTAGGAATAGAATCTATTCAATAGATTAATAGTTTTTCACATAACTATAGATTTCATCAAAAGTTCCTTAAATTCCATAATAATGTCTGCAATTTTAAAATCAATTAAATCATATTAAATATGATTTTGAATTTAATTAATTTTTTTCTAAATGCCTTTAATTATATGCTTTTAAAATATTCATATATTTGAATATTTGTTAGTCAACTGAATACTCGATTTATTAGTAGATTTTTAGATGAGATAGTAAACGATTTACAAAATAAATGGTTTCTTAATTAACTATAAAGTTGAGACAAATGTTATTAATGGCTGTAAAAAGTCTTGTCATCCAAATCATGGCATGTATTCAATGTGTGCATCCAATCGTGACTTTAGGTAATAAATATATAACACATTATATTATTTGATAATTAAAATTATATCCAATATTCTCTATACACGAGTAATTCATTGAACTGAAAGTCATTTACAGTATTATTCTCTACTATTGCCGTGAATTTCGTACTGAATTGTAGCGCAAAGCTAGTGATAAGACAAAATGAAATACAGTTTTATTTTAAACTAATTGAACTGAGATTTTAATGAATTTTATCGATTAGTGTGTCATTTGATTTCAATACAAAAAAGGAATTGAATTTTGAGAAATGAATAGTAAATATAAATGTATTCCCAATCAGTGAATCAAATGTTGTAATCATTGGTAATAAATGCTAACAGAATTTGAAATAAGTTTTGTTGAAAAAATAAATATAATTCAAAGATTTATCAATTGATTGTATTATGAATTATACGACTTTCAAGACATACAATAATTTAGTGTTTTTAATCTCAATTCAGTTTTCAATTTAATGTTTAAGTCCTTAATTACACTCTTTTATATCATTTATAATCAGAAATTTTGTTCATTTTATAGGGATTTTAATAAATTTATAATCAATAATAATAATAATAATATCACTAATTGTTAACATATTTTGGTTGCTTTAAGAGATGTAAAGAACATATTTTGATAAATAAATTAATTATAATATAATTAAGTACATAATAAGCAATGGTATGAAATGAACAAACGAAATATCATTAAAACTTAAACATACAATTCATACAGTAATCGGTGGTAATGTCTACACAAGACGTTTGTCTGATCCTCCAATCAAAAAACTTTTGAATCAAAAATCAATTGAATACTGAATTCATAACACAATTAATTATTTTGTTATATTATAGCAAAAGAAATGCACTTTAAGTTAATATAATTATAATAATATTGTATTCAAATATATATTAAACTGTAATTTTCACTCTCATTATAATTACTTTCAAAACAAATATACCTTTAAATTAGATTGAAAAATAACTTTCAAATTAATTCAATGGATAATTAGCGGTAAATTGTTTGGCAATAATTGTTTCCACTTTTCAAAGGATTTTATTTGAATTGATTTTAAGAGAAAAACAGACAATTAATGAAAGGATGAGAATTGCGGTCAAAGAAATCAGATTTCAATGAATTGTATTTTTTATAATTAATTATTAATCAATAAAACAACCGATAAATTAAAGTAAAACATAAAAATTAAAAAAAACACTGAAAACAAAATATTGTGTATTTATCTCACATTAAGTTTACACTAATTTCGTACCAAAAAATGTTTGGGATAATCGTCGGGAAGTCTTGCGATATATTCATAAACTGATGATTTGATTACTGAATGCAAGAGTGGGGACTCGTATTGAGGGGTCAGTCGGTCGGCCCTATCTTTACTTAAATAAACTTTTGCTTCAAATCATATCATAAGCCACTGATTGAGTGGTACTTAACGTGTGAATCGATTGGAGAGTAATTGTATAGAAATAAACGAAACATTGATTTAAAAACCAAACAATAAGTTATTATATTTAATAATTATAAGTATTTTTGTCATTAATAATTCAATTAGTAGTCAATAATAACTTAATTTTAGGAAAAAACAAAATCTTTAAATCAAATTCACTGATCGATCGATTTATTAATAAAAATGAATCATTTTTTGTTGATTTAATGTTAACTAAAAATATATGTGAGAAAATGTCATCAAATTTAAGGGCAATATTTGTTTCACACTTTCGTAACACTAGTTTCACAAAACATTAGTCTGTATTTAAATATTATATTATTGTCCAAAAATTCAATTACAATTAATGAAAGGATGAGAATTGCGGTCAAAGAAATCAGATTTCAATGAATTGTATTTTTTATAATTAATTATTAATCAATAAAACAACCGATAAATTAAAGTAAAACATAAAAATTAAAAAAAAACACTGAAAACAAAATAATGTGTATTTATCTCACATTAAGTTTACACTAATTTCGTACCAAAAAATGTTTGGGAAAATCGTCGGGAAGTCTTGCGATATATTCATAAACTGATGATTTGATTACTGAATGCAAGAGTGGGGACTCGTATTGAGGGGTCAGTCGGTCGGCCCTATGTTTACTTAAATAAACTTTTGCTTCAAATCATATCATAAGCCACTGATTGAGTGGTACTTAACGTGTGAATCGATTGGAGAGAAATTGTATAGAAATAAACGAAACATTGATTTAAAAACCAAACAATAAGTTATTATATTTAATAATTATAAGTATTTTTGTCATTAATAATTGAATTAGTAGTAAATAATAACTTAATTTTAGGAAAAAACAAAATCTTTAAATCAAATTCACTGATCGATCGATTTATTAATAAAAATGAATCATTTTTTGTTGATTTAATGTTAACTAAAAATATATGTGAGAAAATGTCATCAAATTTAAGGGCAATATTTGTTTCACACTTTCGTAACACTAGTTTCACAAAACATTAGTCTGTATTTAAATATTATATTATTGTCCAAAAATTCAATTTCTTAAACAATTTTAATCATTCGGTAATAAAAACTTCTATTTTAAGTGAAACTAAAGATTTTTAACAAAAACAAAATTTAACTACAATTTAGTGTATGGATTACAAAACAAAATGAATTCATAAAAACGTTGTCATTAATCATCAAATCAATTGAACATTACATTCATTTGGAGACTGTATTACTGTGTATAATAATAATATAGATTATAATTTTATAAAATTATGGATTACAAAACAAAATGAATTCATAAAAACGTTGTCATTAATCATCAAATCAATTGAACATTACATTCATTTGGAGACTGTATTACTGTGTATAATAATAATATAGATTATCATTTTATAAAACACTGACAAATAAAGGCTGACATGAAGTCTAATGCAAAGCATTGTTTGTTTCGTTCATATTTTGGACATTGAGTTCATTTTCTGGAGATTTATATCTATTACTTAAATATTGATAAAAAGACTACAAATCGTATATTAAGTGTGATTTTGAGTGCAACCGATCACTGAGTTTGAGGCAAAAGTCGATCAAAGGATTTGTCGAACGGAAGGGGAAGAGGAGGGATTGCCCTCAACTCTTCTCTACGCTTCTAAACAAAATAATTATTATTAATAATAACTAAACTACCCTTACGTCTCTTGCCTAAGTGTGCTGAATAGTTAATAGAGGCGGGAGAACAACAAGCAGAGGCTCTCCCTGTGTGTCAGACGTCCAGAGCTGCGGACAGACAGACATAATGGGTTAGTGTTGGACAGGTATGTGGACGGGTATGTCATACCGTGAGGTTGTCTCTGAGCAGCTGCATGATGAGCGTACTATCTTTATAGGAATCTTCGTTAAGAGTGTCCAATTCGGCGATCGCGTCGTCAAACGCCTGAACAATACAACAATCAATACATTCGTTAGTAATAATCACTTCAAACGAAAGTCAATACGAGTGTACAAAACGTTCTCATAATAAGGTATTGCCAGTCAATCAAATCAGTCAATGCATGGCATTACATAAGCTATTAAATTGAGCCGTTAGTAGAGGGCCGGGCAGTAGGAGGCCAGGCAGGCATGGAGTGACCGGTAGTCCATTACCTGCTTCGCCAAATGACAGGCGCGATCGGCGGCGTTAAGGATCTCATAGTAAAATTGTCTCTTCAACTCGCGGTCTGGGTTAGCCTAGCCCACACACCCGACATCAAACGAAAACGAATACAGCTTGCGGAGGACTATACTGAAGACTCTCAGTAGCTGTTGTGGAATAATACTGTAGCAAACGCACACAGACAGCAGTAGTAGGAGAGGCAGTGTGGGGGTGAGAGAGAGACAGTAGTGTACGGGGAAGGGGTGGGAGAAAAAGAGAGAAAAAAGCGATGAGTAATGGTCTGGTCGGGGATGTGTACCTGTTTCGCGAGCTGACACGCTTTGTCTGGAGAGTTGAGGAAGAGTATCATTTTCTGTCTCTTCAACTCGCGGTCTGGGTTGGCCTAGCCCACGCAGCCGACGTAGAACGAAAACGAATACAGCTTGCGGAGGACTATCCGGAAAACGCTGAGTAGGTGTTGTGGAATGGGACGGGTCGACACCAAACACTGTTACATACGTTCACTTCATTTCCGGTCATTACGACCATAAATCCCCCCAAAATGATAACATATCTGTGATTCGACTAAACTCTTTCACAATCAATGCATTCACTGATAATAACTAACCGTAAACTTGATTTGCATTACAAGCAAAAATCTAGACTAAAAAGTGTCGTCTGAAAGGCCTAACACTGTATATACAACACACAAACCCCATAAACTTGTAATCACAAGCATTACTGCACTAAATGTCGTTAATTATAGAAACAAATCTTGGTATTTTACGTAACTTATATTGTTGGCAACTCACACGAGAAGTGTGCTCTTCACTGTGTAAATATTGTAGAGACTAATATATACAATACTATTTTTATCTTTTTTCAAAAAGGATAAAAGGTTTTAACAGCTCAAATTTCGTAAAAATGAATGAGTCGTGACTTACTGTTCCTTTGGTCACCAGTGGCCACTTCGGCCAGATATCGGTAATAATCGCCTTTCATTTTAAGGTAAAACACTTTACTTTCGGCATTACTGGCCTTTGGGATCAAAAACTTGTCGAGAAGTCCCTAATGGGTAGAGAAAGAGACGGATGTCCATAATCTGTATGTCGGTTTACACTCAGTATATCTGACCTTTTAGTTATTTTTAATGCTGTTTACAACCTTTTATCGTCAATAAAGGAATTTTTCTGTCGTTATTACGCGAGCTTAACTTGTGAACTTCATAACTAATGCCATAAATGAAGGGACGGAGAGAGGAATGGGTGACAAAAAGAGTGAAAATGAAGAGATATATTAAAAACAAAATAAATGTTAAATCGAGAGACAGAGGGGACTGGGATTTGAGAGAGACTGAGAGAACAATCTCACATGACTTGAGGCCACACCCACTCATGCATTATGTCAAGTGTAGAGCATCTCTGATGTAATGGTTAGCGCATTGACATCAAAGACACAGCGTATCCACTCATACAATACAGTAGTCATGTCTTTGGCACACACTATCAGACCACTACAGACGGACACAACTGTTCTCTCAAATCATTAATTACTAACAAAACGATCGCTAATTAATGACAACTCAAAACTCATACATATATTGACACTAATCGATAGGCAAAGCAAATACAGAGATATGATAGAAAGAGGACGGCATGTATGGTTCGAGGGGAACGGGTGTTTGGTAGGCAACATACGAGCACATCGTAGCAGATCTCCCGCAACTCCTTCTCGACTTTCTCTCTGTACTCTCTGGCCATCTGTTGCTTGCGTTCGGAGCCCTCGGTCTTCTGTTCGATGGATGAGATGACCCGCCAGGAGGAGCGTCGGGCGCCCACAACGTTCTTGTAGGCGACGGACAACAGGTTGCGTTCCTCGTTGGACAGCTCGACGCCCGTCTCCGTCACCTGTTTCATGGCGGCCGCCATATCGTCATACCGTTCCGCCTGTTCGGCCAGCTTTGCCCTCTGAACCAATTCGTCCTTATTATCCATTTTATGGAGTTTCAAGAGATTTCAACCGATTTATGTCTTCAAACACGTCTTCAGACTTAATGTGTGTATTGCTTAGCACTCGACGGACAGCAGTCGCTCCCGAAGTGTGTGTGATATCAACGATGGATGAGATGCACGCAAATCAATACGATCTCAACGGTGGTCTCGAAGCGTGATTGCGATGACTGGATCTGCGCGAAAAGCAAACAAATCATCAAATCAATCAATTGGTCATCAAATGGCACACAAAACAAGACATGAGGTGTGAGAGTGATTGACACACACAGCTAGACCTACGGACGGCTACACACGAGTTATTTCACACAAAAGGGGGTTATTCGGGGCGAAACGGGTTAAGGGGGTCACCGAGAGTGTGGTCAGCAATGAATGGATCACTCAATAGATGTCTTAATGGATGAGTTTGTGGCCAAAGAGTGAGAGACTCATAGAGAAATGCACACAAAATGGCCGCCAAATGGAGCCGAGAATGGAGTGTATTGTAAGGCAAGGCGTGAACAGCACTCACACGACACTCTACTCGTTTGGACATCACCACAAACGCATCCACAGCACACACACACCACTCACCGGTAATGACAGTTGGCTGCAGTGGAGTCAACACAAGTGGTGACCAAATAATGGGTTGAGTGTCGAGTGATTCGCCGGTTGTGTGGAGACTATAATACAGGAGAATGTGTTGTATTGAAGCGATTGAATGCCTAAACGCTGTGCCACTAGTCATGCATTCACTCAACATAAGCACTAAACCTATACGACAGGCATAACAGCCATTACACACTCCCATTGGCCGATACATGAAGCTCGAGCTATACAGCTATATAGCTATGACTAATCCGTGGAGTATTCCCCACATAAACTCCACCGAAACACCCCATCCAGCCCTATGCCCCTCGCACCTCCCGCACACCCCACCCCCACCACACGCACCCCACGAGTGGTCTTTGTATTTAGTTAGCCTCCGAATCCTATTTATATAGCTCTCTATTCGTGCGAAATGTAATTTTCCAAAATAAAACTTTACATACTTTGCGGTATATGTCGGCAATATTGTGCAGACTGTGAAACGATCGAACCTATGATGACATAGTATTCAATGCTGTATTCAACGTGAATCATCCACAGAGTGCAGTGGATTCACGGTATAAGTTGTCACCTAATGTGACACTAATTTAATGTTTGTGTCAAATGCTTCATAAATTGCAGAAATTGTGCTCAACTTATACGTAAACTCTGAGTTGAGAAGTATTGTAAATATGGAGACAGATTTACAACCGTTACTTACGCACACAATATTCACCGCGCCTGACATACCTATCCATAAGCGCCACGCCACCTCGCGGTCATCACCACAGACACCACGCTCACAACCGCTGACACAACTGACAAAGTCTGAAGCACTGGTAGTCAATAACGTCACACACAGTGCATCATCCCTATGGCGACCGGTGTATGCATTGAATGCGCTAAACATACGGCAATGCGAGCAATGGTTGGCCAATACGACTGCACTGTTAAAAGGCATGCCTTTCGCTGCGAAACTCACGTGTGTTTCACTCAATGCACTGTTAATTGGATTTAGTTTTTGATTTGATTTGTGGACACAATCTATAAATAGTGTTATATTTATAGTCTATTTGTCATTAGTTTTATTGTAATCATAATTATCGCACGAAATGCCAAAATCCAAACGAAATCGTTTCGGTATTAAAATTGTTTCTCGCATTTGATTTGATTTGATGTCTAATTTGATTGCATTTTAATTATCATATGTTTTGTTGATGTCTTGCGTTGAACGCCAGTATCGCTGACATCGACTCAGAAGAAGACATTCTCGCAAATCAAGGAAAAGCTGGTTAACGATGTAAATGAGCCACAAATGAGTTGTTGAGAAAAAAGTTGTGTTAATTGTTTTGATTGTTTTGCTGGCGATTGGCCCACAGGTGAGGCAGTGTTGCGATCGGTTCCACCGATTGTTCATATTTTCGGTGCAAAACATGCGAAACGCGAAGCTTAAGGAAGTCCGCAATGAGTGGAAGGACAGTCGGTATGTCGCACACCATCCCATCCCATCCCATGCCCTAAACCTATCGCTTATGATCTGTTGACCCGCACCTGAAGGTTCTTCTTCGGCAAAAACAAAGTGATGACAATTGGTTTGGGAAAGACTAAGGAAACGGAATATAAAGACAATTTGCATAAACTTAGTGGTCGTCTGTACGGACAGTGCGGTCTACTCTTCACCAATAGGTCCGCAAAAGAGGTTCAAAAGTAAGGCTTATTTTTTTAACCCAAATATCGTGTCATTTGAAAAGTGTATGAATTTTTAGTATAGTTTTTGATGCGAAATGAGAATTAAGTGAAAGTCTAATGATATCATAATTGAATTGAATTGAGTGCTAATGAAGTCTAACAGTGTATAGGATTATGGGATTAACGCAATACTCGCGACACGAAAGCAAATGTCAAAAAATAAACTCAAAATATAATTCTGTAAATAATCCGTCAAATGAGACATTGCTTTAAATATAACTCATGTGAAGCACTAGTTTTATGCGAATTCCTTATATTCTGTGAATTTTGACATTAATTTAAAATTCTGTGTATATTTTGAAAAGCATTAATTTTATGGATCAAAGTCAGAATATATAGAATATTCTGTAATAAATGTCGAAAAATGTATTTCTATTTTCATTTAATCCTTAATTCGTTTAATATATAATTAATTTTCGTATGTTTTTAAACATGAATCTGTTTTTCAGGGAAAAGTTATTTGATTTCATTTGTATAATGATTTGCATTTAATTGATATGAAAATAATTTCGGTATTCAGTCATGAAATATAAGTTCATCGGAGAGTAAACAGTGAAATGAAATTCAAATATAATTTTATGACAAATCTCTTCTGTATTTCCATTTATACGTGTCGTCTGTGTATGAAATGTAAGGAAACAAATAAAAGCTCTCTTTTGAGCTATACTTTTATGACTAAATGATTAGAATTTGTATGATTTTGAAGCGCAAATGTTTACAATAGTCTTCTCCATACACTTCAGGCGTTTATTTGTGTAATTCGTGAGAGAGAGAGAGAGAGAGAGAGAGGGAGAGAAAGAGAGAGAGAGAGAATTTTGTGATTAACATTATGTTTGTATTCTGGTATATATTTTTGGTATGGACTTTAAAGCTTATAATAAATATTTCACATTGATATTTAAGGAACTGTGTCATTATAATACACTACATTATAATTCTGATTATCATTTCTATTTTTATAAATTTTATTTTTTATTGCAAACATTGAAATAGTAAATGAAAATTGTTATTTGAATTGAATTCTCATTTATACATCTAATAATGTATATTATAGTTGGCATTATCAATGCATTATTATACGCTAATAAAATTTTGAATATTTTTTCTGTAAATCTGAGTGTTTTTGTTAAAAATAGAATATTCTTGTGTTCAGGAAATTAGTCTTTTTTACAGTGAATTCTCTCATTTGCCTCATATTTATTGCATTCATTATATATTATGGCAAACATCTCATTGCAATGAAAGCATCCTATTATTCATTAAGTACTGTATAGCGACTCAAATATTGGTCTCATCTTTACGTATGAATTATAATACGTTTGGGATTTGAATTGTTTTCTCTCGTACTGTGCTATACATCACATAATACTCTATAATATAAGAGTAAATTAGAAAAAACAATTACAGAATGCATTTGAGTGTCTCTATTAGTATTGGCCTTAAATTAAGCTTTAGTTTCCAATCGATACCATAATATGAGAACAATTCGTCGCTAATTGAGACACAAGTTTTCATTTTTATGTGTAAATATTAATTGATTAAATGTACACAAAATAAATTGACACAAATTGTTAGCGATTACTGTACTTGCTAATTGTTAGTTTGTTTTTATTTAGTATCCATTATTTCAGAGAATCTTTTTTATGTTTGTTTTACTATTGATTTTTGGTTTAATATTTCAATTTTTATTACGACATAAGCTTACAGTAATTGTATAGCGATTACTGTATGGCTTATAATGAATTGATAACAAAATGATATCATATACTGTATCTACAGTATGTATATTATTATACATTGTATAACTACTGTATAAGTTTAAATTGTGTATTTTGAAAAGTAAACTAGGTAGTTGAGTGAGATTAATTGGGTTACACTAATTGTATTGTCACACTATATTAATAATTTAGAAACATTTGAATATTTTCATGAGATTTGAATGCAAACCACATATATTTGACTGACAGATGGTTTGACGACTACGCGGAGACGGACTTCGCCCGATCGGGAACTGTGGCCACAGAGACGGTGGTGTTGGACGCGGGCCCTCTCGAAGACTTCGCCCATTCCATGGAACCGCACTTAAGGAAACTGGGAATGCCTTCTGCGCTCAACAAAGGGGTCATCACTCTTCTCAAAGACTACGAGGTGTGCAGAGAAGGCGTTCCCCTCACCTCAGAACAGGCCAGCATTCTGGTGAGCCATACCTGTCCCCCAGTAGTTGTCATTCATTATAATGTCATGTCTGTCCCTCTCTCAGAAACTGTTGGGCAATAAAATGTCAGAATTTAAGATCACTTTAGAAGCCGTTTGGGAGTCAGACGGCTATTACGAGGAGTACAGACCGGCGGAGCGACAGGAAGTGCCGGAAAGGGATGACTCGGGATTGAAACGAAGCGTAAAACATAAGAGGAATAAGAGACAGAAGAAGAGTAAAGCAGTGGTCGAGACAACTGATGAACACATGAGTGATAGTGAAGACAATGCCAACGAAGAGGTGATGACTGATGACGAGGACTGAGTGGTCGACTCATTGAACTAATCTCTCAAATATTTTTTAATTCATTTAATAAATCTTTTCATAAAATAAAGTTTGATTACAATTAGAGCTCAGTTCTCATACAGTGGTCATTGAGTGACACTTTATGTAAAGAGACCTCCGATTGAGTCGCAACTGAATTGGTTTTGAAGTCGTTTTGAATATTTTTAGAAATGTTTAAAAAATTATAGTTTTTTAATTAAATTTCAATAAAAATATTGAATGAATGAATGAAAGAATGGCTCAATTGGTGTTGGTGATTAGTTTGGATTGAGTGACGTTATGGCAGAGGATCTGGTAATCGGCGGTCATTTGGCAGCGACTGGGGGACGACCTGTCGATCCGGTATTTCAGTGAATGGGTGTAGAAATGCATAGCAATTGAGTTGCAGTCGAAGACAGTTAGCATCACTTTCCTCATTCGGAAGGCGACGGCAATCTCGTAGAGGACTTCCATAAGATGGCGACCCACTCCTGACCGCTGATGACTGGCCTCGACCTGCAGTTCATAGCAGTAGACACAGCACTCCGACTCCTGGCCTCCCGTCTCGAACCGGAAGTGACTGAAGGCTACCAAACGGTTGTCCTCTTCAGAGCGGACCACCAAATGCCGGGCCGTCGAGTGTCTCAACTCCTTCTCCTTCTGCGATCGATTCCAACCACAAGACGACGACTCGTAGAATGACTTCATGTTGTGTTCCGTCACGTCTTGAATCCACTGCTGAGTCTCGGCGTCCAATTGGTCCCATCGGTGACACTCGAGTCGGTGTTGGCGTCCGTTGTGGTCGACGAATGTGCGGACACTTGGGTTCACTTGGAGTAACGGGTCGTCCGACTGGTTCGCCACAGCTATGAGTGCTTTGGCGCGACAGCCCTTCCCTCCAGAGTTGATGCCATTCTTCGAAGTCATGATCTGTTTGTCTGTTTTGCGCCAAAGAGTGCAGTGTTTGTGACGTTCAGCGCATGCGTTGACTCAACCAAAAGACACCAAATTTAAAGCACTACTCATTGACTGTACGACTCATTCACAACACGTGCTTTGGACTCACATTAACATTGTGTTGATTTGATTAGTATTTAGTATCCTTTGCTTAGTATTTAGTATCCATTGCTTACAACAATATGATTGATATGTTTATTATCAGTGATATGAGTAGTAGATTAGGGATTAAGCAGATAAGTGAACCCAACTCTACAATCATTTTATTTGAGACATTAAATCACTTAAAGTTAAATATCGTAATGTCTTTCGCAAGTATGGCGACAATGCCTACAGTCGATGATCTAATCCACCGAATTATTGGTGATGTCCGCAAGATATCCGATAAGTTTAAGAGCGGTGGAGACCAACAAACAGATCCAAAGTAAGTATCTGTAAATGGGATCCAATCTGTGATCTCTTATTCCCATCTAATTATAGCAAAACTTTTCTCTCTTTTTGTTACTTTCAGTCATTTGTTACAACTTTTTGTTATTATTTTTGATGTTTTAATTGAAATGAGAGGATAATGAGAGAGCAGATGCTGTTAACCTCTGGAGGTATCCTTGAAGTGAATGCATGGCATGTCTTAGTCTACGAGTTGTGTATGTGTTTCACTCACACCTACATTACAGGACAGCCTGTTATGTCGAATCTGATGAAACAATCGGTGAATAAGATTCAGAGACTAACAAAACCAACGAATCCTCCAAAACTGGTTTTGCACTCAAATTGTGCACAAAATACTCAAATACTATACAAGTCTTTAGTCTGACTTATAATACCTTTTCTCTCGAAAGAAGTTTTTTATTGAAAATATTTTTCAAACGATTATTAAAAGACGTTATACTCTGAGAACTCGTCGCAACTCTCGACTACTTTTTCGCCGCATTTCTCGCGAAACACTCTTTGATTCCCAAAACTCTTACACTTATTATTGAAACAGAAATTCAACCGAAATAATTAAAATAATGCTTTATTTAGTGTTAAAAAACATCTGTTGCGAACGGCACTGGCTTTGGACCAATTGTTACTTAAATATCTTGATTTGAATGAAACCGCGTCTCCGATGTCTAAACTAATGATAATGTCTTTGAATCAAGAATTAGAGGCAATTGTCTCACCATTCAAAGCGAGTCTTTACGTTGAGTACAATGAGTGAGTAAAACATAGTTTTTAAAAATAAACTCGAAATATACGGTAATTCTGTAAATAATCCGTCAAATGAGACATTGCTTTAAATATAACTCATGTGAAGCACTAGTTTTATGCGAATTCCTTATATTCTGTGAATTTTGACATTAATTTAAAATTCTGTGTATATTTTGAAAAGCATTCATTTTAGGAATCAAAGTCAGAATATATAGAATATTCTGTAATAAATGTGGAAAAATGTATTTCTATTTTCATTTAATCCTTTATTCGTTTAATTTATAATTAGAATCGAATTCTATTTGAATCGCATTATTGATAAACCAGAAGAAGAAGAAGTCGGAGACGAACAACAAGAGGGCGGAGATAATTGATAAGTCGTGTGAATCCGTTCTCTGCATTCCCATCAAATCAATAATAATTATTATTAATAAAACAAATCTTCGCATCTCTTCTCAACTCCCGTTTGGGATTAACGCAATACTCGCGACACGAAAGCAAATGTCAAAAAATAAACTCAAAATATAATTCTGTAAATAATCCGTCAAATGAGACATTGCTTTAAATATAACTCATGTGAAGCACTAGTTTTATGTGAATTCCTTATATTCTGTGAATTTTGACATTAATTTAAAATTCTGTGTATATTTTGAAAAGCATTAATTTTATAAATCAAAGTCAGAATATATAGAATATTCTGTAATAAATGTCGAAAAATGTATTTCTATTTTCATTTAATCCTTTATTCGTTTAATTTATAATTAATTTTCGTATGTTTTTAAAACATGAATCTGTTTTTCAGGGAAAAGTTATTTTATTTCATTTCTATAATGATTTGCATTTAATTGATATGAAAATAATTTCGGTATTCAGTCATGAAATATAAGTTCATTGGAGAGTAAACAGTGAAATGAAATTCAAATATAATCTTATGACAAATCTCTTCTGTATTTCCATTTATACGTGTCGTCTGTGTATGAAATGCAAGGAAACAAATAAAAGCTCTCTTTTGAGCTATACTTTTATGACTAAATGATTACAATTTGTATGATTTTGAAGCGCAAATGTTTACAATAGTCTTCTCCATACACTTCAGGCGTTTATTTGTGTAATTCGTGAGAGAGAGGGAGAGAAAGAGAGAGAGAGAGAGAGAGAGAGAGAGAGAGAGTGAATTTTGTGATTAACATTATGTTTGTATTCTGGTATATATTTTTGGTGTGGATTTTAAAGCTTATAATAAATATTTCACATTGATAGTTAAGGAACTGTGTCATTATAATACACTACATTATAATTCTGATTATCATTTCTATTTTTATAAATTTTATTTTTTATTGCAAACATTGAAATAGTAAATGAAAATTGTTATTTGAATTGAATTCTC